TTAGTTACACGTATGGTCAAAATTCTGTGAAATGTTTATTCCTTTAACTTATTGTGCTTCTGTAAAGCAATACAATAAAGAACATCATTAGGCGCAGAATTGTGACTGCTGTTTTGTTAGGTGAAGCCAGTTTTTACCTTACCATCTGAAGCATGTAGATAGCTCTGACCAAGAGACTACAAAAAAGTAACACTAATCAAATGTATAGGACTGCTGAAGGCATGAGTGTAAAAGACCAAGGTTTAGTTTTTGAGACTGTCAAGTACAAGACAGACAATGCATGTGGTTAAAGGGGTTCAATATGGTATCTGTCACAAGTGGATTTTTAGAAATGTTTTGATGTTGTACAGATTGTGTATATTACTTGTGCCTAATACTTTATTTTTTGTACTACACTACTGCATATCAATGAGATGACTGTCACCTGTGGTGTCAAAGTACATTTATGAGCTGTTTATAAGATGAGCGGTTTCTCATCCAAAAGTGGGAAACAGATTACTATCCGTTAAAAGAAAAAAAACAGTAATTATGTGAGATACATACCAAGAAAATTGGAAGAAAGTTTTACATACTTGGTAGGGAATAACTGTAAGCTCTGATGGTCTGATAGCCAGGGAAATATGTGACCTTGCATCTAATGAAAGCACTTTAACTTAGGAATATATTCATAAATCATAAATATCAATTGTCAAGACGTAATTTTCTATTCTGTTCTAACTCCTGTAATTCAAGAATAGTGCCATAGAAGCTTAAAGGAAAACATGAAATTAATTCAAATATCTGGACAAGTCTGTTCAAAGTCTCTATTTGCAGATGCTGACTCAAGAATTCATTTCAATTACGAGGTGATGTTCCCTTCTCCTTGCTTGAAGAAGTTGGATTATGCCAGCTCTGGCCAAGTCTGCACAAGAATCTGTTAACCATCAATACTATGCACTAAAGTGATGCATCTTTCAGTCTTTTATCCAAAAACATGATTTCACTGTGTGACATTTAAGGAAGCATCTTAAAGTCTAGGAATAGATTAGTGGCACTTACTGTTTTCAACTCATGTATAGTCCAGTACAGAGGCTACATAAAAAAATATTCAGTGTTGAACTTACAGAAAGAAACGTATGGCATGTCTGAAAAATCAGGAAGCAAGATACGTTTCATGATTTTGGTAGTATTAAAGATCCATGATGGAGACAAGTGGTTTTAAAAATGCACAGCTTATTACAATGACTGAGACATCATTTCTGCTGAACATAAATTATGTAGCTCATTAATTACGCTTCAGACATCACAACTACAGTGTAGTTGTAACTGAATATATATTTCTCCTGCTCCAGATTACAAAAGCATATTGAATAACATTGCTGTTTCTTTTTCCAGTATTTGCTTCTTTGTTTTGATATTAACCTTGCGTTGTCTGCAGCATTCTTATTCTTCCACCAGCATGACCAAGTTTTATCTTTCATAATTTTTTGAGCTATATGTTACATGCACAAAATTATTTTAAGTATTGAAACATGCATATTAAATGCATCATTTATCAAGATTCTGGATTATATCCCTAGGACAGTATTTTTAATGAGAATAAGTAAACTCAGCCTTAATTACAAATGTGTGTACCTCTGATCTTCATCTTGCATTAACAATAATGAAATATTATGTACGGAAAAGGAGCAAATGAAAACAGAAACGTCTGTGTTGCAAAGTATGGGTTATTATACATGTGTATAAAATATTGATTTGTCCTGAATTAAAGGTCAGGAAGTTGGGTTTTTTTTTTTGCTTTTGTTATGCCTTGCCTAACTATTTTACTTAGTAGCTTTGAAGATGTAAGTTTCCTGTTTAACTGTTGATAGATACTGTATTATTTGCATCAAAGGACTTGAGATTCTTCTAGAGCTAACATTTTACTAAAGGGAAGCCCTAAAAGAAAATATTTGAATAGGTGTTTTTAGAGCTTTCATTCTTCTGTAAGTATTTTATTAATATATTATGATACTACTTTATGAAATGCATGGGAAACTGCTTGTGAGTTCAAATGAGAGTTGATGTGGAATTTTACTTTGGCTTGGGAAAACTTAAGTACATGTCTTCTATCTGTTAAGATACTAGACAGTTTTGAAAACTGATGCCCATAGGTAGTATAGATGATAGAGCAATGATTTCAAGAGATCGACATCTGCTCTGATGAGCTGAGTAATTATCTTGTTAGCCAGACTATTAAGTTTATAGAAGACAAGGCAACTTTGATGTTGCCTGGTCACCCGGCCCGCTTGACCTTTGCTGTCTCTAATGTGATACACAAAAGTCACACTTCTCATTATGCCCGTCCATCGATTTATTGACAGGGCTTTTTATCTCCTATGGACATCACCCAGATCAGTGTGGGAATGTGACTTACGGTTACAATTTAGAAGTTGCGAGTTCTCTAGTGGAGAAAGGAAAAATAAAAATGAAGATATGTATTGTACCACTAGGACAACATTAAAAGGCCTACAAGTTAAATAAGAAACCCGGGGCAGAATTTTCTCTGGCAATTTTTCTTCTACTATGAAAAACAAAAATAAGGCATGGTTGGTTTGCTTTCTTATTTATTGAATGTTTCTGCAGGGTAATACTTAGTTTAGCTCTGGTCTTTTTGAGGGGTGAGACAGCACTCAGCAGGGAGGTGAAACTTTTCAGGTTGTGTAATTACTGCAATTCCTTAGTCTTTGTTTATTCTAGTAACTATTTTCTGGTCAATCAATGCAAGCTATTAATATTGACTCCTTGATCTCGACCTACATACAGATCTAAATGAATATGGATTCCTTTGTTTTTACTCATCATGAATTATCTGCACCTATTCATGACTGTTTGCATGATTGACACCTACCATATCATAAGAACAACAAAACAAATAGATTCATACAAGGTGCCAGGCTGCAACTGTGTTTTTATAAATGTGATTTTGCTCTCTTAGATGCATTTTTTTTGGTCTTCTATGTCTTGTTCTTTGCCCAATTTCTCCACAACACTCAAGAATGACAGCACCACTAATTACATGATTTTGTCTGCTTCAGGTTTTGGAGGACCTAGACTGCAGAAAATATCACTGTTTCATTCTTTTTTTTTTTTTTTCTCTGAAACTAACAAATCAAATGGGATAGAGCAGTCTTGTTTTATTTCCCAAAAACATGATTCTGGGTAGACTTTACCTTAATTTTTTTCTTCCATCTTTGTAGGGAATTCATAGATTGTCTTTCTTCTTGTCCTTCCTGTCACTGTACTGGTATGAGTGGATGAAGAAACGCATACAACGCTGTTGTCAGTTCCAGCAAGTTGCCAAGGAGGTGTGCATGAGCATAGCTGTCAAGAGCAACAAAGAGTATTTTAGACGTTGTGTGATGACCACTCAGGAATCAGCTGTGAACAAAATAAATGCATTATTCTCAGACTCGCTAAGTACTTATTCAACTCTTCTAATATTTCGGTAAAGACGGGTTTATTAGTATTTTTCACTAAATCATTTATCCTCTCTATGTGCTGAAAAGAGTTCCTGGCTATTTTGTTAGTCAGGACATAATTCACAGATAAATTTCCTCCAAAGGTTTTCTATTTTCCTTCATTTTCCACTGTGTTTAATTTGTCTATTCATCTTTTGAAACGCCAGAGATGTGTCTGTACCACAGTTGCCACTTTGTACACAATGATCCTTCGCAACTATTTTGTAGTCCTCTAGTTTGCACGTGCAACTGAAAGCATGTAATATGTTAGAGTTTGTTTCCTTTCTGGGGGAGGACTGAACTGCTGGAAAATTTCAGAAGCCTTATAATAATCTCTAGAGCAGATGAAAGCACTACTAATTTGTCTGATTTCCATGTATGCATTTTGGAGGTTCTTTATTGAGGTTAGGAGTGAATGGAGCCAGACTAATTAACTTCTTATGTAATTCACATCTATGCTGGTAATTATCTAGGAGTTACTGATCTAAAAAGCCGCCTGGTGTTGATTTCTATACTTTATGTTTATTCCTACACGATCACTCACTCTGCTCTTAACCATAAATTGCCGCCCTCGAATGTGTTCTATGTGTAAGAACTAAACAACAGATACAGAAACAGAAACCCACAGCAACAAAAAAAACAAAAAAACAAAAAAACGAGGAAACAAAACGCCCACTGCAAACAAAGCACCACTGCTTCGATTCCCACGAGGTATGCAGCCCCGTTAAGTGGCCGTTCTCGCGCTTTGCGTAGAACCAAGAACGCTGAAAGGGCTTCCAGAGCGGTGCTGTGGAAGAAGGAGGCGCCACGAGGTGAACTCCCGCCTTCCCACAGCGCGGTCCCCTCGCTGGTGCCAGCCGTGGCAGGGGACCCCAGCACTGAAAGGTACAGGGCCGACAGGAATTCCTGGCTTTCTATAGAAAATATGTTGTCTCTAACTTGTATTCCCTGCGGCTAAACGTATTGATGCGACGCTCTGGTGTTTCCAAAACACGTTTTGACAGGGATTACGTGCCTCAGGCTGCACGATTCAAAGTTCATTAATCTCTACCGAAAGCCTTGCTGCAGATGAGCCCCAGATGCGTACAGGTGCCTCCGTTAACTTGCTCTCTCAAACACCGTTCCGTTGAGGAACTCTGAGCCACCAACTCGCATTCCCGTTTCCTCACCTCATCGCTTTTTCGGGAAAGAGGTCAGAGCCTAACAAAAACAAGCCACGGGGCCGGACGAGGCGCCGGGTTCCGAGCATCCCTCCCGCCGAGGTGACCGTATCCCTCCTCCCGGGGCACGGCTGACACAACCCTGCTGCCCCTCGTTGTCCCGGCCGTGACGCTTACAGTCAGGGATGGCGTCACCGGGGCCGCTCCGTCACTTCACGCTCTCCGCCGCGCCTCCTCTTCCCGCCCGCGCCCCTTCCTCGCGCCCCCCTTCCTCGCGCCCCCCGCCTCGCGCCCCCCGCCTCGCGCCCGCTCCCCCCACAGCAGCGCCCGCAGCTGAGCGCCGCACCCCCCGGCGCCACCTCCCCCTTCTCCTCCCCTTCCTCCTCCTTCCGAGCGGCCGGCCGGAGGCAGGGGGAGCCCGGGAGCAGCGTCCCGACGCGCGGCCAGCCGGCGGCAGGCGGGGTCCCTCGCCCGCCCGCCCGCGCTGACGTCAGGAAACTTTCTGGGCGGCTGAGGCGTGAGCCGGGCGCCGAGGCAGCGGGCCGCCTCCATCCTCTGCAGGTACGGGGCGGCGCGGCGGGGCTCCGGGAACTGCGGCGGCTCTGGGGGTAGCGGGGCGCTCATCCCGTGCGCGCCGGGCGGGGGGAGAGGGGAGGGAGCGCCTGTTGAGCGCTGCCCGCGGCTGCAAACTTCGCCGGCGAAGCGGGACCGAGACGGGTCGTGGCGCCCCGGGGCGGTGCGAGGGGCCGGGGGGGGTTCGCGGTGCGGGAGAGCTCACCTGGAGGAGCGGCAGCGGCTGGGACCGGCGCGCGGACCTGCCCGCTCTCAGCAGGATTCTGCAACTACAGCGGTGCGCTGCCGGCTGCGCGGTTTTCTCCTTTAACTTCAAAGCGGCGGGGAGTTTGCAGAGCACCTGAACCGCGCGGCGAGCCGCGGGAGAGCGCTTTGCTCGCCGCGAGGGGCCGAACGCCGCCTCCGTGCCCTTCCGCGGCCGCGCCGCCCGCGCGAGGTGCTGAGCACCGCTCCGCGCGGCTCGGACCGGGCGGCGCTCGGGGAGCCCCGCGCTGCCGGCTCGCGAGCTTCGGCCGTGCTGCTCTTTTGTTCCGTCGCCGCTTAAGAAAGGCGTCGAGGCGGTCAGAGGCCCGAAAGGTTAACCTCGTTCTTCCCGCAGAGGCGTTCGTCCCTTCCGAACGCTGGCTTTCCTTCTTGAATTTTTTTTCTCCCCCTTTCGGTTGCCCTGCAGCTGCAAGTTTTTAAAAGTCATCTTCACGTAAAAGTGGCTAAAAGCAAAGCACTGAACAAACTGGAAAGCCTGGCGTGTATGAAGGCGGCTATGAAGCTGCTCTAAATGTGTACAAACACCACGTATTTTAACAAAATGCTTGTAGTGTACTCAATGTGAATATAAACAAGCACTCATTTTTACTTATTTAACGAGAATAACTATGAACTTTGCTCTGAGAAATAGTTTTTCTGTGGTTTTCTTCCCCTGTGTCTTAGCCTGAATACCATCTTGGTGGTTCCTTCTGGCTGTTGAACCGATAAGCCAAAGTTCTGTGTTTCTGCTGCAAAGGACAGTAGTTGACAAACATGAAGCAATTCTTTTGAGAAGGAAAAAAGTCTTTTTGGAAGCTTAGTATTCTATTTTATGGTGATTTGAAAATGCGCTGAAAAGTTTGCCTTGTTGTTATTGAACTGCTTGGTTGACTGTTATGTGAGGGACGACTTCTGATCTTTGGAGGTTATTCACATGTACTCTGGGGAAGGAACCTCAAAACAGTGAGAAAAATGATGATAGTAGACACACGGTTGTTTGCCGTATGCTATTTGGTGTGCATTTTATTCCCTCACCCCCCTCACAGACACATTTTTACCTGAAGAGGTTGAATAAAGGCAGCAATTCACAGATTAAAAACCTAGGAATTATGGCACAGTTGAAGGATGCAAAGGAACAACCGGATCTGTGCTTTCAGTGGAGCTGTCAAGGCAGGGATATCATGATGAGAACTGGGAAGTAAGCAGAAGCAAGTAGGAATTAGGCTGCTTTAGCAGTGTGGATGACAGTCTTAAACATGATCTGGGCAGCTCTGGGTGTGTCTTGGGAGTGGTGAGTACAGAAATTAAAATGATTCTGATGCCAAAAGAAAGAAGAAAAAAAAAAAAAAAAAAAAGGGAAAATACCAGACTGCAACAGTGACCTGCTAGTACAGGGCTCTGTGTAAAGCATTTTAAGTTGGGTGGGAAAATGCAAAGCTGGTGTTGGGTGACTAAAGCAAGAAAGATGTGTTTGGTAAGAGACTGGCTATTCACACAAACTACTGGCTGGTACTGCCTTGTTAGGCTCTGACAGCTTAGTAATCTTTGTGAGGTTTGATTGTTGTTGTAGAGTTTAGAAACTGCTGCTGTGCCAAATGTTCACCTGATGGGACATTTCAGAATAACCTTTATGAGCTCATTAAAATAATTTGTTAGTCCTTTGCCTTTAAACAATGCTACGTCTCATGGCTTAACAACAACAGTGAGTAAATGAGTGTATTCGTACAGCACTTGTAAGTATTACTGGATGCTCCTGAAGTCATAAATAAAAGAATTGTACAAGGAACTGGAAGAGTCAGATACAATAAACTGGCATTTATGATACAGTTATAGAATGAGTTTTTCTCTTGAGATAATCCGTCAGGACTGTATTTCTTTAACTTGTCATAGGAAAATAATTAAAGCTACAGCATGAGGCAGCTGAAGACCAACTTCAGCTTCAATAGAGAGACAAATGTAGCTTGAACAAGATCCAAATACAAGCTACCTTCTCCTTGAATTGTTGCCGCACCCAGTGTGACTTGTGGCAGGATGCTGATTGTAAAAGTTTTCTGAGGATTACAGGGCACTGCCCTGAGCCTGAGAGGTCCAGCAAGTTCCTTTCACCATGGCTGATTTCTTAGGACATGGTCAGAGAGCAGCTCAGGCTGTATTTCAAGTTAATCAGCTCTTGAGACAAAGCATCCTGAATTAATCATTTAATTGCATGGTTGCATAAGAATACACTAATTGGGCACAAAGAAATATTTTCCCGTCCCCTTTTTAGCATCACTACAATCTGATTTTGGGAAGGATAAGCACCTTTACAGAATCGGATTGTAGTCTGGATGAGAACAAACAATGCTATTATTGTTACAACATGCAGAGTGCTGCTATGCCACTACTTAAGTGCTTTCTGCAGTTCTCTTGCCCAGTCTCTCTGTGTGTGTGTGTGTGTGTGTGTATATATATATATGTCTTTTTCATTGAAAAATAGTTGTTTGTGTCCTTGTTCCCAGTATATGTCAATCCACTCATGGTGTCCCTTAGATCCCTGGTTCTTCCATGCAGTCAGTCTCACCAACCAAGCGTCAGTGTTTCACAGAAGATGTCTCATGACTTATATGCATATCTAAGACTAGGAACAATTTGATGCAGAAAGTGGAGACTCTCTCTGTAGCATTTCATTTGTGTTTTGAGGACTCACTCGAGTTTCCACACCTTTTCCACAAGCTCTGAAAATGATTGTGAACAGATCTTGAGCCTTAAATATTCTTCCTATTGAGGCTGTAGCTCCACCCAATCTAATAAGCAGAAGGTCACCTGAAATGCCTCACCTTGCCGTATGATTTCAAAACCTGTTATGCTAAATTGAACATAAAGAGCAGGAGGTGATGTTACTTCACAGATTTTTATCCAGCATTTCAGTAGAGAATTTATCCAGCTGGAAACTCATCTTGAATTCCCAGGGAAGAATTTACACTTTAATTCCTCTTCTCTTCTGCTGGTTTAAGCAGATGCTCTAATCACCAAGCTAAGAGGGTACTTTGGATTATTATAATTTCTTCAGGTTGAAATAGCTTACTTTTAGGGAGTTTAATTGCACATTAGGCAAAGAAAGAATGTGGAACTTTGCAGCTTAGTGATGCAGACACTTCTGTAGAAGAGTCATGACATGAGTTACCAACAAGTACATAAGCAGTAAGCTTTCACTGGAGCAGGAAGCAGAATTCAGGCTTCGTAATGCCCACAGCTTCTTGCAGCTTACTTGATAAGGAGGCAAACAAGCACCAAAAAGCTCTTTAGAGTAAGATACTGTATTGCTTGAACTTCTGCAAAATTATATTCTATTTTCAAAGCCAGGCACTGAGAAATACTGTTTCTTCTTTTAATTCCTGAGCCTGACCTACTCGGCTTAGTAGTACTGTATGTGCTGCTCACTCTGTTGGTACTGCATGTGTTTTATGTCAGACTCTGAGCATGGTCTGGTTTTGTTGTGAGAACAGAGCTGGATTTTTGGATTCTGTCAGTGATACCTGATCAGCACTGCTGTTGTGCATGAGTTTGTGCAAGTGCAGCCTGGTAAGCTGTTCTCTCACTGATGCAGGTACTGCAGCTGGGCTCTATCTTATTTTTTTCAGTTCTGGAACTAAGGGGTTGCTAATTTTTCTTCTTTGCATTGATTTATATTGTTGCTAGAAATGCAAGGTGACTGTATACCGTAAATAAGAGTGCAGTATTACCTGAATGCAGAACTGTAGTCCATGGAAGTGCATTGGGCATTCCTGTTATTCCTGTGTTATAAAAAGATACTGTTCCATGCAAGCAGAGAATACTTTTGTTTTGAAAAACGTGTGATATTCACAAGTATCCAGTGGCTGTTTAGAGCATGCTATATTGCTGTAGCGGGGCAGACCTTGCAGATATTCCTGTGTCTGGCAGTAGCTGTGGATAAAGGAGCCTGGTCTCCAGGGTGCTTCAATCTCTTCTTATCTCAAAAATAACATGAAAACCTTAAAACTGCATTCAAATTCCTGCATATTATTTTTAGATGAAATGAAGTAGGATTTGAGGACTGTTGGACTCTCTGGAACTGTTCAAGATCCTTACTCTGATTTTTTTATTTTTTTTTTCCCTGTTCTCTGTCTCTTCCAGTTTTAATATGAGCAATCTTGGACAAAGAAAAGAGGCAGTAGTAACGTGGTGTGCAAAGTGGAACCCAAAGTGCTGCCCATTATGGCCATTTAACAATCCATCCTATTTTCAGCTGGTCCTTTTAAATGAAGATTCTAAATCTTAAGCTCTTCCTAGGGAGAATGCCCCACTAGGAACTTAAACACTGTGCTTGAACTTTCCAAATACTGTTGGATGCTAAAATCGTAGCAGTGAATGCAAAATCCAGAGCAAAATGTTTCCCCTACATGTAAGTTGGCTACTGCAGTGGTGGAGAGAGCACTGCCCCTTCTGCCCTTCTTCCTGCAAGGCCTGACGGAGCTGGGAGACCCCAAGCTGGACTGGGTGCTGCCTCCTGGCTTCCAGCACCTTCTGTGATCAACTCTTTTGCTGTTGCTGGCAATTTGTGATCTGCTGCCCTGTTGAACCAGGCCTTTTCCTATGCATCACAATAGCAGCGATCAATTTTCTCTTACATCTTAATGTGAATTTGAGTAGTTTTTTTCTTGATTCTTTTCAAGAAGATGGCATGAACCGACATTGTTTTCTTCATCTGTTGTGAAATCTTCTGGAAAGCAGAACAGAAGTGAGGT